GAGATTGTGGATGATATAAATAAATGGAAGAATATATGGTGTTCATGGATTGGAAGAATTAACATCATTAAAATGTTCATATTACCCAAAGCAATCGATAGATTCAGTGCAATCACTATTAAAATACCAACAGCTTATTTCACAGATAGAGAACAAAACTCCAAAAATGTATATGGAACCAAAAGACACCAAATAGCTGAAGCATTCTTGGGAAAGAAGAACAAAGTAGGAGGGATCACAACACCACATATCAGGTTATATTTCAAAGCCACTGTAATCAAAACAGCCTGGTACTGGCACAAGAACAGGCGTATAGATCATTGGAACAGAACAGAGAACCCTGAGATTGACCTAAGCCATTATGCTCAATTAATATTTGACAAAAGAGGCAAGGCAGTTTCTTAATAAATGATGTTGGGGAAATTGTACAAGTACATGTAGAAGAATGAAACTAGACCACCAGCTACACCATACACAAGAATAAACTCAAAATGGGTAAAAGACGTAAATGTAAGCTGTGAAACAAAATCCTAGAAGAAAACATACGCAGCAAAACTCAGACATCTCATGTAGGAGAATTTTCACTGTTACATGACGTAGGGCAAGAGAAACAAAGGAAAACAAACAAATGGGACTACATCAAACTAAAGAGCTTTTGCACAGCAATATAGAAACCAGCAATAAAATGAAGAGGGGGGCTGACTGATTTGGCTCAGCGGTTGGAGTGTTGGCCTGCAGTCCGGAGAGATTTGGGTTTGGTTCCCACTAAGGGCATGTACCTCGGTTGCAGTTTGTCCCCGGCCCTGGTTGAGTTGTGCGGGTGGCAGCCACTTGATGGGCCCCCCCCCTTTTTTTTTTTAATCCTCACTCGAGGACATTTTTTGATATTTTGTTCAGATAGAATGGGAGGGAGAGAAAGAGAGAGAGAGAAGAAACATCGACGTGAAAGGGACACATCGAGTAGTTGCTACCCGCACAGCCCAACCAGGGCCGGGGACAAACTGCAACTGAGGTACATGCCCTTAGTGGGAACCAAACCCAGGTCTCTTGGGACTGCAGGCCAACGCTCCAACCGCTGAGCTAAACCGGCCAGGGCCGATGTATCCCTTTTATGTCGATGTTTGCCTCTCTCTCTTTCCCACTCTATCTGAACCAAAAAAAATGGAAAAATGTCCTTGGGTGAGAATTAAAAAAAAAAAAAAAGTCCTCTTTAAAAAAAAATGGACCTACGGTTTGGGAGAATATATTTGCCAATGATAAATCTGTCAAGGGATTAATTTCCAAAATATATGAAGTGTTCATACAACTCAACAAAAGGAAGACAAATAATACAGTAAAAAAAAAATGGGTAGAGGACTTGAATAGACACTTCTCCACACAGGACATACAAATAGCCAAAAGACATGAAAAGATGCTCTAAGTCACTAATCATCAGAGAGATGCAAATTAAAGTGACAGTGATGTACCACCTCACACCAATCAGAATGGTTACCATCAATAAGTCAACAAACGAGTGCTAGTAAGGATGTAGAGAAAAGGGAACCCTAGTACACTGAGGTTGGAAGTGCAGACTGGTGCAGCCATTATGGAAAACAGTATGGAATTTCCTCAAAAAATTGAAAATTGATCTTCCATTTGACCCAGTGATCCCACACTTAGGAATATATCCTAAGAATCCTGAAACAACAATCAGAAAAAATATATGCACCCGTGTTCATAACAGTACTATTCACAATATGTAAGATCTGAAATGGTCCAAGTGCCCATCAGTAGATGAGTGAATAAAAAGGCTGTGTTACATACACACAATGGAATATTATGCAGATGTGAAAAAGAAGATTCCATTACCCTTTGCGAAAACTTGGAGGGACCTGGAGAGCATTATGCTAAGCTAAATAAGCCAGTCAGAAAGACAAGTATCAGATGATATAATTTATGTGTAATTTAATGAACAAAATAAACTGATGAATAAAATAGATCCAGAGACATGAAAGCATGGAATAGACTGATGGTCCTCAGAGGGAATGGGGGCAGGTGGGAGGCAGCAGGAAGAAATTAGTGATGGAACTTACATGTATATATGCTTTATCCCTGGACATAGACAGTAGGGTGGGAAAGCCCTGGACAAGGCAGGATGAGAACTAGGAGGAGAGGGGGTGGTAAAAGTGGGTAGACATCTTTTATACTCTTAAGACAGGAGTAAAGATTTAATACTTTTAAAAAAATGCTTCTATACAAGAAGGAAAAATAAATGAAGAGTAGAAAGTTGTAAAATAGAAAAAGTGGAGTTTGTGAATTGTGTTTGCTTTCTGCATTTTTTTGTTTGTTTTGTTTTCAGGTTTTGAATGGCTGTCATGAGTCGTTCCTTTGGTTTCTAGCATGTTCCTCCTTTTCTCCCTTCCTCCCTCTTTCCTTTTATTAATCCTGAGAAACTTCAAAGTCAATGGGGGATGGTCAGATCTCACAGGCTGAGAACTCATTCCCCTCCAAGTATTTAATGAAAAAGCTGCTTATTAATCATATATACTCTCACCATTGTGTGGAGAGTTTGACAAATCTTTCAAAATAACTAACAATTCAAAAAGGAAAAAAGGTTTCCTAGACAGAGAAATGAAATGAATTATTCAGGTGGCAAGCAAGTGGGTGGTAATGGCTTTGTAAGACATCCATGAGTAAGAAATTGAAGACTGCCCTGGCTGGTGTGGCTTAGTTGATTGTAGTGTCGTCCTGTACACCAAAAGGTGGTGGGTTTGATTCCTGGTCAGGGCACATACCCAGATTGTGGGTTTGATCCCCAGTGGAGGCTTGTGTGCAGGGTAACTGATTGATGGCTCTCTCTTCCTCCATCTTAAAAAAAAAAAAAAAAGAGAAGAAATTAATGACTAAATTGAGAGAACTGATTATTAAATTTTATACTGGGTTGTAAATATATGTCTATAAGCCATTTGATGAGCAATTTTAAGAATTTTTAAGGGTCATTTTGACTTGTGCTGAGTAATTTGCAACTCCACTAAATTTTGAAATTAGATCTGGTTACATCAGACTTAAGAAACAGATTACAGAATTCTAAGATGATACAGTGCCAATGTTGAGAATTTCTTACAAGGAGTTCAAAGGGCCCACATGTTTTTCTTTTCCATTTCCATTTTCTAAAATAACATTTCTAGAGATAGAAGACTTGTTAAATTGCTGATCTAAAGATAAAGCTTATTTTGATAAAGATATCAAAGCTTCTTTTATGCTTAAGTAAATATGATGGTTTTTGTATGTTAAAGATATGCAGGAGTACTTGAGATATTAAGATGTTTTTCTTTTTGTATAAATACTTCCTTTGATGAAAGCAATTGTTTGTAAACTATTAGCTTTTGTCTTTGTTTCTAGTAAAAACAAGGGCAGACAGTAACATTTTGAGGTATTTTGCCATTGTATTTTGTCAAACTTTCAAATTATGTCCAGTTATTTCACATAACAAAATGCTTGTTGCTTAGCTGTGGCATTTCAGGACAATTGGAGAATATATTCTTTTCTTTTTGTCAGAGCATACTGTAGTCACAAGTTAAAGCCACAACAAATTTTTATGGTACTTTTTATTTTTGGCTTTCTTAGAATTCAAGGACTTAATCTAGATACAATATGTTTTTCTTTTTTCTCTTTTTTTATTTTATCCTCACCCAAGGACATTTTTCGATATTTTGTTCAGATAGAGTGGGAGGGAGAGAGAGAAACATCAACGTGAAAGGGACACATCAAGTGGTTGCTACCTGCATGACCCAACCAGGGCTGGGGTCAAACCGCAACTGAGGTATGCGCCCTTAGGGGGAACCGAACCCAGGTCTCTCTGGGCCGCAGGCCGACACTCTAACTGCTGAGCCAAACCGGCCAGGGCTTCTTTTTTTTTAGTTTTCTGATAAATTCTTTAGTCTTATTTAAAATTTTTTATTTTTATTTTTTTTTTAGAATGGAAGGGAGAGGGAGAGAGAGACAAAGAGAGAGAAACATTGAGTGGTTGCCTCTTGTATGCACCCCCCACCAGGGATCAAACCTGCATGCTGGGAATGTGTCCTGGCAGTGAATTGAAGTTGCGACCTTCTGGTACATCAGGACAGCACTCAACCAACTGAGCCACAGGGCACAGTATATTTTTCTTAATGAAATGTCATAGATTGTGATAGGGCAAAGTAGCAGAAATGGAAAAGAAGTGTATTCTAGAAAGAGACATTATTATTCAGTAGAGAAAAGTCCCTCTCTTATCTTCCTGGCTCTGGGTACAAAGGTAAAACAATATTCATCTATTTTAAATTGTCAGTGTAACTTCTTTTCAAATCTAAATGAGACTATTAGGATAGAAGTTTGGAAATCCTATCATTGTTTTGGAGAAAGAATTTTCTATTTTTCATTAGGAAGTTTTCTTATACAGGTTGGGGCAAAAGTAGGTCTGCAGTTGTTCTAATGAAAAATAATACAATAATTAGTTAATACATAATGATACAAGAATAAACTTCAGCCCTGGCCTGTTTGGCTCAGCGGTTAGAGCGTTGGCCTGCGGTCCAGAGAGACCTGGGTTTGGTTCCCGCTTAGGGCATGTACCTCGGTTGTAGTTTGTCCCCGACCCTGGTTGGTCGTGCGGGTGGCAGCCACTCGATGTGTCCCTTTCATGTCAGTGTTTCTCTCTTTCTCTTCCTCTCTCTCCCTCCCACTCTATCTGTACAAAAAAAAAAAAAAAGAATAAACTTCATTTACTCACAACTTTAAACCTACTTTTGCCCCACCTTGTATTTCTTTTATATCCTTCTTTTAGAATATGTTACAGTTGATTCCAAAAATCAGAACATATCTACTTAATTCTTGTATACTATAATTTTTTGTTTAAAATTATTTCTCCTCTTAGAAATAAATGTCTTGCTGCATTAAATCTGTGTAAACTTTGGCAAGATTTATAAATATAAAGTGGTTAGAAAAAGAGAACTGTACTTTAAATGGTATTGATGATTGTTATTTAGGAAGCAGTACTGCCTGAGGACTTTTTCAGTGCTGTGAAACTAGAACAGCATGGAAAATGGACTGAAGAATTGAACAAACAAGTAGAAGATGATGGGCAAAGAAAAGTAGAAGAAAAACTGGTATCTTCAAAGGTAGCTTATAAAGTTCTATGGATATAAAGGGAAAAAATAATCTCAAAGTTTAAGAAACTTTTATTATTTTTCAATTACAGTTGACATTCAATATTACATTAGTTTCAGATGAACAGCTTAGTGGTTTTTAATTCACGAAGTGATCCCCCCTACCCTGCCCCATAAGTCTAGTACCCATCTGGAATCATACATAGATGTTATAATAATATTGACTATACTCCCTATCTCTTTATGCTGTACTTTACGTCCCTCTGACTATTTTGTAACTTCCAATTTTTACTTATTAATCTCTTTACCTTCTTCACCCAGTCTGGCAGCCTCCCTCCCATCAGCCAACCATCAGTTTATTCTCTGTATCTGTGCGTCCATTTCTATTTTGTGTTTTAGTTTCCTCATATAAGTGAAATCATGTGGTATTTCTCTTACTCTGTCTTAACTTATTTTATGTAGCATAATACCCTCTAGGTTCATCCATGTTTTTGCAAATGTTAAGATTTCATTTTTTTTTTTTTTAAGGCCAAGTAATATCCCATTGTATATATGTACTGTATCTTCTTTATCCAGTTGTCTGTTGATAGACATTTAGATTGCTTCCATATCTTGACTATTGTGAATAATGCAGCAATGAACACAGGGATGTATATGTCTTTTTGAATTAGTGTTTTGGATTTATTTGGATAAATACCCAGAAGTGGAATTGCTGGGTCATAAAGTAGTCTTATTTTTTATTTTTTTTAGGAACTTCCATTTTTTTCCATAGTGGCTACACCTATTTACCATTCTACCAACAGTACACAAGGGTTCCCTTTCCCCCATATCCTTACCAACATTTGTTGTTTGTTGATTTATTTATGTTAGCCATTCTGATAGTTATGAATTTCAAAGTTTTTAGTCTTAAAGGTATTCTGAAACTATTCGACAAGACTAGAGTATACCAGTTATTCCACATTTAATGTTGTGAACCTTTCATTGAATGCATTTAATAAGTGTGATTTTGCATAGTTTCTTATAACTTTTTAGCAATTTCCCAATTCTCTGAATTTCTCTTATTCTCCAAGCTAGTTATCTAAATGTATATGGAATCAATACAGAATGCAGTTTTGTTAACTTTTATGATGCTTATTCTGCTATATGGTGACTTAGAAATCATTTTGATTGTCATTTAAGATTTTACATGTGAGAACAATTGGAAACTTTCTTAGCAATTCTTATTTGTCTTGATTAGGGTGAAGAACATGATAGATGGGCAGTGCATTTTGATTCATTAAAGAGCTATCCTGGTTCTCAGTCTCGATTGTCCTCTCAGTCAACATACAAACAACCAGAGTACTTCTCTGTCTCTCCGGACACTCAGGATTTGGCTGATATCAGCAGTGTTTATACACCTACAACTGGAAGCCAGATTGAAACTTTAGAAGAGGAGCATATAGCAAAACCTGTTAGTGGTGTGGCAATGCCAAATGGTCAAAAAACAAAGTAAGTTTATACTTCAGTATTTTATTGATGTTTTAAAAAGCCTGTGTGCTTGTTTTAGGACCGTTATATTTATAATATATCTTAATTGATTTTAGGTTTGTTATTTTTCTTTAAAGAAGAAATGATTAGTAGATATATCCCAAACAAAAATAATTTAACACCTTGTTAACCATGTTTTGGTGGTTTTAAATAGCTAATGTATCCATCTTGCCAGCTTTCTTCGTTCTATGACTGCTCTCTTAGACCCTGCTCAGATTGAGGAACGAGACAGGCGGCGACAAAAGCAGTTGGAACATCAGGTATTGCATTGTAAATACTGTTCTTTGACATATTTATGGCCAGTAGATACCTAAGTAAATGGAAATTAAAATTTCAGTGTACATTTACAGCATAGATCCTGTCCCATGCCTTGATGAATCTAATTCCTACTCTAGCCGGCATATTAGGATTATACTCATGCTGAGAATTGGATGGTATCATATATTACAGCTACCTGCCTTCCAGAAGAGAAAAAATTTTAATATATAGTTTATATATATGAGATGGCAGTAAATCTTAAGTTAGTATTGAATATTTTTCTCATTAGTTTAGATCTGAATTCTGTCAAGATGAGAATTACTTACTGTATACTGATAAACTTATTTTAGAAACACCAAAACAAATGCATCCTGGGTTTTTTTATTTGTAACAGTGACTTATGTGATTGTTTATGACTAGAAAGCCATCACTGCTCAGGTAGAAGAGAAGCGCAGGAATAAACAGTTGCAAGAAGAGCAAAGAAAGAAGGAAGAACAAGAAGAGGAGCTTCGCTTAGCGCGGGAACGAGAAGAGATGCAGAAACAGTATGAAGAAGACATACTTAAGCAAAAACAAAAGGAAGTAGGTATTTATATTCTAATCAGTTTTTTAGAGTCAAAGTGGGTATGTTCTTAGAAAGTAAAAAATAACAAAAGTCGAGCACTTCCATATATTTTGAAATTGTGAAGCTGTTTGTGGAAACAAAGCTTTGCATAAAGAAGGCTGTGAAAGTTAAGGAGGAATCTGGAGAAGGTTTGTTTTTGAAATGATTAGTTCACAAATGCTATATTGCTTGGGTTTCTTCTCTGCTCAGAAGGAAATCAAGATAAGTTATAGCACAAAACAGAAGTTATCCATGTGCTTGATTTTGAAATCAAGCAATTGATTTCAAAAACAGTTGTTTTCTGCCCTGGCCAGTTTGGCTCAGCGGTTAGAGCGTCGGCCTGCGGTCCGGAGAGACCCGGGTTCAGTTCCCGCTAAGGGCATGTACTTCGGTTGCAGTTTGTCCTCGGCCCTGGTTGGTCGTGCAGGTGGCGGCCACTCGATGTGTCCCTTCACTTCGATGTTTCTCTCTCTCTCTCCCTTCCTCTCTCTCCCTCCCACTCTATCTGTATAAAAAGTGGAAAAATATCCTCGGGTGAGGATAAAAAAAAAAACAGTTGTTTTCTAAGCAATTATTACTAATTAGTAAATGTTCTAGGAATGTTAAGAAAAATGATTGGCTTTTTTGTCTATATCCTCTTGTGAATAGGAGCATATATTTGTAGAGTGATTGGCTGGGAGTGACAATACAGTCTGTTACTATGTTAGAGGTTTCCTCTGTGCTAAATAGGGGCCTTTTAAAATGAGTATATATCCAAAATAAATAAAATAAATAGAGTATATATCTGGTTGGCTAGTAGAATCTTTATATTAAGTGGTACAGACAGTATAGGTATGGTGGTGTCAAGCTGAACTGACAAAGAGCAACTCATACAATGACATTAGTTACCAAAGATTCTTGAGGTTATCAAAGTAGAACATAGAGCACTTCCCTTGGAGTTGGAAGGTGGGCTGACAGCCTGCATTTTCTTGCCTTTTTCACTTGCAACTTTTACTCCAAACTTAGCTAATGAAGGGACACATGGTCTGGGTTCTAATTTCATTATGTTGAATAGGCTGAGCCAACTACTCCTATGAAATAATTTTTACATGAAAAAATTAAAGTATCATTTGTTTGAATTATAATAAATGGCCATAAATCTTGTGTTTTCCTTCTTAGTCTATTTTTTTTTTAATCTTCACCTGAGGACACTTTTTGCATTCATAGAGAGGGGGAGAGGAAGGAAGAGAGAGAGAAGAAACATCGATGTAAGAGAGACACATAGACTGGCTGCCACCCATAGAACCCCAACTGGGGCCGGGGACAAACTGCAACCAAGGTACGTGCCCTTAACGGGAACTGAACCCTGGTCTTTCCAGACTGCAGGCTGACGCTCTAAAAGCTGAGCCAAACTGGCCAGGGCCTTAGTCTATTTTTAATCTTAATAGAATTCTGATGGTCTGGCCGGTGTGGCTCAGTGGTTGAGCATCGACCCATGCATCAAGAGGTTGCCGGTTTGATTCCTGGCCAGGACACGTGCTGAAATTGTGGGCCCTACCCCCAGTGGGGGGGCATACAGGAGGCAGCTAATCGATGTTTTCTCTCATTGATGTTTCTGGCTCTCTCTCCCTTTCACTTCCTCTCTCTCTAAAATCAATAAAGGAAAAAAAAAAAAATAGAATTCTGATGGAATTAACCATTGGTTTAGAAACTTTGAAAGTTTTATTAGTATAAACTCGAATGTAAAAGTGTTATTATATTTGTGGTCTAACGAAACTGTAGAAAAAGATTAGACTTCCAGTCAAGATGTTGGAGTAGGTAAATGCTCTGCTCATCTCCTCCCATGATCACATCCAAGTTACAACTAGACTGCAGAACAACCATCATTGATAACCACCAGAAGTCTAACTGAACAGAAGTCCTATAAGTAAGGATATACAGAAGCAGCCAGGTGGAGACTGGTAGAAAGTGCAGAGACATGGAGCTAACTGCTCCCACTCCCATGTGTGGTATTTAAAAATTGGGGAGGTGCCCTGGCCAGTTTGGCTCAGTGGTTGGAGCGTCAGCCTGCAGTCCAGAGAGACCCGGGTTTAGTTTTCGCTAAGGGCACATACCTCGGTTACAGTTTGTCCCCAGCCCTGGTTGGGTCATGTGGGTGGCAACCACTCGATGTGTCCCTTTCACGTTGATGTTTCTCTTTCTCTCTCTCCCTCCCACTCTATCTGACAAAACATATTTAAAAAAATGTCCTCAGGTGAGGATAAAAAAAATAAATAAAAATTGGGAGGGCCCTGGCTGGTTTGGCTCAGTGGTTAGAGCATTGGCCTGCGGACCAACGAGTCGTGGGTTTGATTCCAGCCAAGGGCACGTACTTCAATTGTGGTTCTTCCATGGCCCTGGTCGGAGTCATGCAGGAGGCAACCAATTGATGTGTCCCTCTCACATTGATGTTTTTCTCTCTCTCGCCCCCTCCCACTTTCTCTCACTCTCTCTGAAGATATTTGAGAAAATATCCTTGGGTGAGAAATAAATAAAATAAAATATAAATAAATAAAAATTGGGAGGGCTATCTTGGCTACAGAGGACCACTGAGGAGCAAGGAGTCTCAGTCCCCCACCAGGGCTCCCTAGCCCAGAGTTCCATTGTTGGGAAGAGAAGTTCCCATACTTCAGCTGTCAAAACAGTGAAATGGAGGTCTGCTGGAGTCCCAGGGCCCGTTCACAGACTTACCTTATTTAACAGTCACTTGCTCTTATCTCCAGCATGGGGCAGCAGCTTGAAAAGTGCCAGGGACATACAGGGTAGAACTGAATTGTTTGTCTTCAGGACAAGGACTAGAGATGCAGCTTTCTCCCAGACAGAAGTGCTGGCAGAAGCCTTTGTTCCTTTGTTGTGCCCAGCCTACACCCAGTCTGCAGGCTTAAGCAGATGCCAGATCTGAATCTCTCATCAACCTGGCTAACACCATTTGGCCTACCGGGTGATTCCCTGAGACCTCCCACCCAACTTTTGTGCCCACCCAAGTTACTTCAGTGGCTTTTCCATACATACGACCTGTCTTAGCTCATGCTGCAGACTTTCCTAAATTGTCAAGGGTTCACAAACTCCAGACAAGTAGCTTTCAGGCCTCAGTGTGTTCTGTATCTCTTGCTAGGTAGTCCCAAGCCTGGCACTAGTGGAGCCTGCCTCAGTTCATAGCTTAGCATCTCCCACGTACCTCCAAGCCCAGTACAAGTGGCAGCCATCTTCAGATCGCTTTGTATCTTATACCAAGTGGCCCCAGGCAAGGCACAGGCAGTAGCTGACCTTGGCCTGCACAAGAACCCCTCCCAAGAGGCTCCAGTGGCCAACTTGAGACCACACAAGAGCGCCACCCAACCACCTTCACAAATGAAACACCCAAAAGGCAGACTCTGCAGGCACCAGAGCCTCACTAAAGTGATTTCTGCTCCATAGAATCAGCCCCTGCACAACAGCTTCTCCACTGTAGTCCTCACAACCAGTCAGCCTGAGGGTCAGTCCTACCAATTGATGAGCCAGCAGCAATAAAGGCTCGACTACACCAGGAGAGCACAAACAATCCACACAAGGAAGACATCTGGAGCACCTGGCTCAGGTGACCAGGTAGATTGAACCACTGGGCCCTCTAGGTCACCTATTACGTAAGACTAATCAACCAACACTGTGAATCGTAGCTACTCTACGTGAGACGTAGCAACTCTACGTAATACGTAGAAACAGACACAAGAAGGCAGGTAAAATGGGGAGACAAAAATGTCCCAAATGAATAGAACAAAACTAAACAAAATGGAGACACTCAATCTACCAGATGCAGAGTTCAAAGCACTGGTTATAAGGATGTTCAATGAAATTCAGGGAAGAATAGATGATCTCAGTGAGAACTTCAACAGAGAGATAGGAAACATAAAAATGGAGATAGAAAATATTAAAAAGAACCAGTCAGGAGTGAAGAATATAGTGACTGAAATGAATAATATATTTGAGGGAATCAGCGGTGGATTAGATAGAGGATCAAATCTGCAATTTGGAAGACAAAGTAGCAGAAAACACCCAGTCAAAACAGCAAAAAGAAAAATGAATCCAGCCCTGGCCCGTTTGGCTCAGCTGTTAGAGCGTTGGCCCACGGACCAGAGAGAACTGGGATTGGTTCCCGCTAAGGGTACATACCTTGGTTGCAGTTTGTCCCCGGCCCTGGTTCGGGTCGTGTGGGTAGCAACCAGTCAATGTGTGTCTCTCACATTGATGTTTCTCTCTCTTCCTCCCTTTCTCCCTCCCGCTCTATCTGAAGATAAATGCAAAAATGTCCTCAGGTTAGGATTAAAAAAAAAAAAATGAGGCTACTTTAAGGGGCCTCTGGGACAACCTCAAGCATATTAACGTTCTCATCGTAGGGGTACCAGGAGGAGGAGGAGGAGAGAGCAAGGAATTGAAAACCTATTTGAAGAGAATAATGATGGAAAACTTCCCTAAGGTGGTGAAAAATATAGACATACAAGCCCAGGAAGCAGAGAGACCTCTAAACAAGATGAACCCAAAGAGGCCTGCACCAAGACACCTCATAATTAAAATGCCAAAGGTTAAAGACAGAGAATCTTAGAAGCAGAAAGACAAAATCAGTTACGTACAAAGGAGTTCCCATAATACTGTCAACTGATTTCTCAACAGAAACTTGCAGGCCAGAAGGAATTGGCATGAAACATGTAAAGTGATGAAAAGCAAGGACCTACAACCAAGATTACTCTATCTAGCAAAGCTACCATTTAGAACCAAAGGACAGATAAAGAACTTCCCAGAAAAGAAAAAGCTAAAGGAGTTCATCACCAAACCAGTATTGCAACAAATGTTCAAGGGACTTCATTAAAAAGAAGGAAAATTAGATAAAAAATATGAATAATGTTCATAACTATGTCCTTATCAATAATTACTTTAAGTGAAAATGGATTAATGCTCCAATCAAAAGACAAGGTGCCTGAATGGATAAGAAAACAAGATTCCATACATATACTACCTACAAGAGACCCACTTCAGATAGATAGAAGCAGAAAGTAAAGGGATGAAAAAAGATATTTCATTTACTGGAAACAGCAAAAAAAATGCTGTGGTAGCAATACTTATATCAAACCAAACAGACTATAAAACAAAGGCTATACCAAGAGACAAAGAAGGACAGGAATTCCACTTCTGGGTATTTATCTGAAGAAACCCCAAATATTAATTCCAAAAGACATGCATTCCTATGTTCATTGCAGCACTATTTACAACAGCCAAGATATTGAAGCAACCTAAGTGTCCATTGACAGCCGAATGTCTAAAAAAGAGTTGGTACATATATATAATGGAATATTACTAAGCCACAAGAAAAGAATGGAATCTTGCTATCTGCAGTAACATGGATGGACCTAGAGGGAATTATGCTAAGTAAATAAGACAGATACCATATGATTTCGCTTACATGTAGAATCTAAAAACCAAAATAAATGCACAAACAGAACAAAAAGAGACTCATAGATACAGAGAACATTTTAATGGTTTGACAGATGGAGTGGAGGGTTGGGTGAAAAAGTGGAAAACAGTCATGGGGATGTGAAGTACAGCATCGAGAATATTGTAATAACTATGGTATCAGATGGGTACTAGACTTATTGGGATGATCACTTTGTAAGTCATATAAATGTCTAATCATTCACTATGTTGTACACCTGAAACTAATATAATAATGTATGTCAACTCTAATTGAAAAATAATGAATTACTTAAAAAATTCAAATCCTGTAAATCAACAATGCAAAGAAACCCAGTAAAAGAATGAGCAAAAGACTTGAACAGGTACTTTACAACTTGACAAAAGAAAACAACCAATGATTATTTAAAAAGTAGTTCAACCTCATTCGTCATCAGTGAACTGTAAATTAAAATCATAATGAAATGCCATTTTATATCCACCAAAGTGGCTAAAATTAAAAAGACTGACACTGCTTTAAAAAAAAAAACTAATATGTGAGCTTCCAAAGGGAAGGAATTTGCCATTGACTCATCTACTCCCAGTATCTTGAATACAGCCTGGTACATAGAGGAGCTTAGAAAATATCTACTGAAAGAGAAGAATCAAGTTTGTATGTGTTTGATAATTTATTTGATAAAATTATGCACTTTAATATTGATAGGAAATTATAACTATCAAGACAAATGAACTGTTCCAGACGATGCAGAGAGCACAGGAACTGGCACAGAGACTAAAACAAGAACAGAGAATCCGAGAATTGGCTCAAAAGAGTCATGACACTTCTAGATTGATTAAAAATCTTGGTGGTAAGTACTTAACCAGAATTTTATTTTTAATGTTTTTTGAAGTTGATTTTAAATAATTGACTATTTTTAATACCTTTAACAAATCTATTGACTAAATATTTTTTAATGAATTTTAGACCTTGAACTATTATACCTTTATACTACGTATTTTATTGGGGAAATTATCTTAGGAGTACAACTAAATAATATTACACTTTCTACATACATTTTCTTATTTTGCTCACAACTTGACAGTAGGTAAAATGAATATTCCGTACCCATTTTTATGGAGTCATCTATTTAAGTGATCTCCCTATATTCAATAAGGGATAAGAATGCAGGTAACTTTGTAAGAAACGTTAGGCTAGTCCTTCTACATTTTTTTGAATTATTCATATTGATAAAGTCTTGTGCATATTTAGTTGCTGCTACTCATAATTTCTATTAATATTCATTTTATCAGATAGTTTATTTCTCTTGCCAGTTGATACAGTACAAGTGGAATTTAATGAATCTACTAACAACATTTCAAATTCAAGGTGTGACTTGGATGAAGTCACTGGTAAAATGAACACCTATATCAATTCTGCAAACTCTCCTAAAAAGGATACTGGTGTGCAAACAGGTATTTGTTTAGAAATTGTTATTTTGGTTTAAAATTTACTTAAAATTAAAGTCACAGTTGGAATTAATTTCAGTTAAAGTTTAAAAATTAAAGGAATTCAAGGTTTTCAGTAAGTTAAAAAGTAAAGTGATCTTTTACTTTTTCAGTTCTCCATAACGAATTTGTTGAGGTATAATGCACATAGTATAAAATTAACCCTTTTTATAATTCAGTATTTTTTAAAGAGTACAGTTTTTTATTCAGAGTTGTATAACCATCATCACAATGAATTTTAGAACATTTTTATCATTCCAAAAAGAAACACAGTATCCATCAGCAGTCACTCTCCATTTCCTCTCTCCTCTCCACTGTTGTGAAACCACTAATCTACTTTCTGTCTCTAGATTTGCCTGTTCCAGACATTTCATATAATTGGAATCATATCTAATGTGTTATCTTTTATGTGTGGATTTTTTCACTTAGCACAATGTTTTAAGGTTCATTCCTGTTGTAGCATATATGAGTACTTCATTCCTTTATATTGCTGAATAATATTCATTTTATGAATATCCTGCAATTTGTTTATTCCTTTATCAGTCGATGGGCATTTGAGTTACTTCTACTTTTTGGCTATTATGAGTATGCTGCTATGAACATTGATGTGCAAGTTACTATGTAGACATATATTTTCTGGTCTCTTGGGAGAAATGAGTAGCATTGCTAAGCCTACCAAACTGTTTTTCCAGAGTAGTTGTAGTGTTATATAGTTCCATCCGCTATGTATGAGGGTTCCAATTACTCTGTGTTCTCATTCACAATTATAATTCTCATGGTTGTAAAGTGGTATCTCATTGTGGTTTTGATTTGCATTTCCCCAGTGACTAATGATGTTGAGCACATTTTCATGTGCTCATTTAAAATTTTCACATAGGTAATAAGGTAATATCCATGTTGAATACCGTGATCATAGGTCTTCGTGCTTACTATGAATTCTTTCAGGCCTCTATCTGTCTGTCTGGGAAATCTTTTTTTTTTAAACTTCCTGATCTCTTTACCTTTACATTTTTTTCAATTGAGGTATAATTCCATGTGATACTAGTTTCACATGTACAACATCATGATTTAGTATTTGTATATATTTTTATTTATTAAAAAATTATTTTTTCTTTATTGAATTTAGAGAGAGAGGAAGGGAGAAGAAGAGATAGAAACATCGATGAGAAAGAACATTGATTGGCCGCCTCCTGCATGCCCCCCACTGGGGATCGGGCCCACAACCTGGGCATGTGCCCTTACTAGGAATCGAATTGGTGACCTTTTGGTGCATGGGTCAATGCTCAACCACTGAGCATTGACCCATGCACCCATCAACCGAGCGGGCTTGTATATATTTTTAAATGATCACCACAAGAAGTCTAGTTAACATTTATCACCATACATAATTAAAAAAATTTTTTTCTTTTGATTAGAACTTCTAAGATTTATGCTTTTAGCAACTTTCAAATATTCAATACAGTATTATTAATACATTTGGCCAGTGAACAACATGGGTTTGAACTGCACTGGTCCAGTTATATGTGGCTTTTTTCCAGTTGACCTTTGTAGTTAATTGACCCACACCATTCAAACTCGTGTTGTTCAAGGGTCAGTCCTAGGTTGAGAATCTGTGAAATGGGGAGGGCTGGCTGGAGTTATATGTGGATTTTCTATTGCTCGGGAGGTGTTTGCCCCTAACCTTCATTGTTCAGGGGTCAGCTGTAGTCACCATGATGTACTTTATGTCTTCGTGTCTTATTTTATAACTGGTAGGTTGTTTTGAATCCCTCCCCTTATCATTTTCACCCACTTCTCTATCACACCAATTGTTCTCTTTATGAGCTTGTGTGTGTTTTTTTTAAGATTCCACATATAAGTGAGATTATATTTGTCTTTTTCTGTATGACTTATTTCACTTAGCAAGATATCCTCAGGGTCCATTCATGTTGACTCAGATGTCAAGATTTCATTCTTTTTTATGGCTGAAGAATATTATATTGTGTGTATATGTGTTATATGTATTATTATATGCACATTCATACTAAATTTCTCTATCCATACATTCATGGACACTTAGGTTGCTTCCATGTCTTAACTATTATAAATAATGCTGCAGTTAATATGGGAGTGCATTTATCTTTTTGAGTTAATATTTTAGTTTCCTTCAGTGCTGGATCATATGGTAATTCTATTTTTTATTTTTTGAGGAATCTCCATACTGTTTTCCATAGGGGCTGTACCAATTCACATTCCCAACAACAGTGTACAAGGGTTCTCTCTTCTCCACATTCTTTTCAACACTTATCTCTTGTCTCTTTGACAATCTAACAGATGTGTAGTGATATCGCATAGTGGTTTTTATTTGCACTTCCCTGATGGTTAATAATGTTAAGCATATTTTTATGTACCTGTTGGCCATCTGTATGTTGTCTTTGGAAAAATGTCTGTTTAGATTTTCTGCCCATTTTTTCATTGGATTCTTTGTGTGTGCATTGGGGGGGACTTTGCTATGTTTTGTGTGAGTTCTTTATGTACTTTGCATATTAACCCTTATCGTATATATGATTTGCAATTATTTTCTCCCGCTCAGTAGGTTGCCTTTTCATTTTGTTGATGGTTTCCTTTGCTGTGTAGAAGCTTTTAGTTTGATGAAGTCCCACTTGTTTATTTTTGTCCCTTTTGTGTTTGGTATCAGATCCAAAAATGATTGCCGTTTAATGTCAAGGAGTGTTACCACCTATGCTGTCTAGGAGTTTTATGTTTTCAGGTTTTATAATCGAGCCTTTAGTCCAGTTTCATTCCTTTGCATTTGGCTGCCTGTTTTTCCCAGCACCAATTATTGAAGAAATTGTATAATCTTGGTTCCTGTGTTATAAATCATTTGACCATATATGCTTGGGTTTATTTGTGGGCTCTGTTCTGTTTCATTTATCTATGTGTTTGTTTACCATACTGTTTGATTACTATTGCTTTGTAATATAGTTTGAAATCAGGGAGTGTGTTGCCTACAGCTTTGTTATTCTTTCTCAAGATTGCTTTGGCTATTTGGGATCTTTTGTGGTTTCATACAAATTTTAGGATTACAGTCGTCCCTCGCCACTTTATGCTTCGACTTTCGTGGTTTCACTCTATCGCGGTTTTTTCTAGTATAGTATAGTGAATAGTATAGTATAGTATAGTATAGTGTATAGTATAGTATAGTGTATAGTATAGTGTGTAGTGTAGTGTAGTATAGTATAGTGTGTAGTATAGTGTAGTGTAGTATAGTGTGTAGTGTAGTGTAGTATAGTATAGTGTGTAGTGTAGTGTAGTGTAGTATAAACTGCGATAGAGTGAAGCCGCAAAAGTCGAAGTGCGAAGTGGCGAGGGACAACTGTATATAAATAAAGAACTCTACTGCCCTGGCCAGTTTGGTTCAGCGGTTAGAGCGTCGGCCTGCGGTCCTGAGAGACCCGGGTTCGGTTCCCGCTAAGGGCGCGTACCTCGGTTGCAGTTTGTCTCCGGTCCCGGTTGGTCATGCAGGTGGCAGCCACTCGATGTGTCCCTTTCACGTCGATGTTTCTCTCTCTCCCTCTCTCTCTCTCTCTCTCTCTGTTCCTCTCTCTCCCTCCCACTCTACCCGAACAAAAAATGAAAAAATGTCCTCAGATGAGGATAAATAAAGAACTCTACTTCGTGGAAATTCATTTATCGCGGTAGAGTCTGGAACTGATTAACCACGATAAATGAGGGCCGACTGTATTTCTTTTTCTGTGAAAAATGCCACTGGGATTTTGATAGGGATTTCACTGAATATGTGAATCATTGGGTAGCATGGAAATTTTAACACTATTAATTCTTTCAATCTGAAAGAACATGAAATAGTTTTCCATTTATTTGTGTCTTCTTGAATTTCTTTTATTAATGTCTTACAGTTTTCAGTGTATACTTTCACCTCCTTGGTTAAATTTATTCCTAGGTATTTTATTTTTTAATTTAATTTTGTTTTATTTTTATTTTATTTTATTTTTAATTTTTTTTATGTTATGTTATGTATCCTCACCTGAGGACATTCTTCGATTTTTTTGTTCTGGTAGAGTGGGAGGGAGAGAGAGAGAGAGAGAGAGCAACATCGACGTGAAAGGGACACATCGAGTGGCTGCCACCCGCATGACCAACCAGGGCTGGGGACAAACTGCAATCAAGGTACATGCCCTTAGTGGGAACTGAACCCGGGTATCTCTGGACCGCAGGTCAGTGCTCTAACCACTGAGCAAAACCAGCCAGGGCTGAATTTATTTTTTATATGGTGTAAGAAAGTGGTCCAGTTTAATTTTTTTGCATGTAGCTGTCCAGTGTTCCCAACACCATTTATTGAAGACTTTTTCCCATTGTTTATTCGTGCCTCCTTTGTTGTAAATTTAGTTGATTGTATTAGTGTGGGTTTATTTCTGGGCTCTTTATTCTGCTCTATTGACTTAACGTGTTTTTGTGCTGGTACCATACTGTTTTGATTACTGTAGCTTTGTGGTATAGATTGAAATCAGGGAGACTGAGGTTCCAATTTCAGTTTAATTTACTTGCGCTCTGGTCTTTATTACTTCCTTCTAAATTAACTTTGGGCTTTCTTTATTCTTCCTTTTCTACTTCCTTTAGGTTTAAGGTTAGACTATTTGAGATTTCTCTTGTTTTTTGAGGTAGGCCTGTATTGTTATAAACTTCTCCCTTAGAATAGCTTTTGCTATGTCTAATAGGTTTGGTAATGTTTCCAATTTCATTTGTGTCAAGAGTATTTTTTTATTTCCTCTTTGATCTCTTTATTGACCCATTGTTTGGTAGCATGTTGTTCACCCTCCACATGTATTCTTTCCAGTTTTCCGCTTATAATTAATTTCTAGTTTTATATCATGTGGTTCCAAAAGATATTTGACATGATTTCAACTTTCTGAAATGTAATGACTTGTTTTGTGGTCTAACATGTAATCTGTTCTGGAGAATGTTTGTGT